CATCCCCCCCAAAAAATGAGGAGGCAAATACATGAAAATAATTTAGAAAAAAGAGACTATTATAAAATATGAACAAAGACAATCCATGCCTAGATTTTACAAAATGGGAAACAAAGATTTATCACAACTAGTTGTTTCCTTTTTCTGTTTTCTAATTTAATCAATAACCAATGTAGAAAATCATCAAAGAAGGAGAACTGACTCTGGGTGGTGAATACACAATGTGATATATAGATGGTGTACTTAAAACCCATGTAATTTTACTAACCATTGTCACTCCAATAAATTTTAATTAAAAAACAAAGAAAAAGAAAAAGAGCATCAAAGAATATTCAGGAAAATGGAGAATTTAGTCATTTGTGAAACCAAATATTAGGAACGTGCATGCGATTTGTAACAAAATACCACTTAACAGAAAACAGTAGTTTCTTAAGGTAAAGAAAATTCCCTTGGCACCAAGAGGCCAGCTCATTCTTAGAGACTCTGAACAGAAGAATAACGGATTGATTCCAAATGACTCATCAATTCATGAATTTACCATGTCTCTACATGGACAAAAACAAAACATAGCACTTTCAAGTTGATGAAACCAAAAGACATCATAGACAGGGCCAAGTAATCAGCGTGGCTCCCCAAAGCTGACCGAGCCCCACAAACACCTCCCTTGCTCTGCCCTCTAAGTCTGTCAGAGCTGCCTTACACAGCTCTCAGCATGTCCAACCAGATTCTTTGTGAGTCTTGCTTCTTCCTAACCATTTGCAAGAAGAAACTGCATTATTTAAAGGCATGTAAAAATCTTAGGTAGGTGTAGTATTAATGTAAAGAGGCCCTATTCGGCTGCACCATGGACATAATATAATTGAAACTCATTCCAGAAATAGCAAACTCTATGTATTCATTAGCTAGTAGCATGAAAGGAATCGGTAAAGCCTTTGTGAATTGGAAGTACTTGGGGAACACCACATAAATACGTTTTTACTTGGACTTTGCTGTATCTGTGGTTTCCAAGCCTGAATCTATTATGGTGCTTTAAAAAGACAAGAAACAACTCCTGCACCCTCCTCCACAGAAACTCTAATTTGGTGGGATTGAAGTGTGACCCAATCATCTATATTTTAAAAACTGTCATTGGTGATTACTTTTGCAAAACCAGGGTTGAAAACGCTTGCTCTGTATCCTCCTTAATGGATGGATAATGTAATTGTGAAATCTGAAATCTTCAGAAGCATTTTTAGTGACATATCCAACTATATGTCAGAATCATTTTGCCATATAATCCCCTTCACATCTTCATTCTTTATCAAATCTAAACCCTTTTGCAACTTGGGGTTGTATAAATTTTGAAGATACATTATTATAATTTAGGATATACCCATACAGAAAGAGAAGCACAAAAATGTAATGGCAATATAAAATAAACATCTACTTTATCTAAATTACGAATTCATAAGTTTTCTATCAAAATCATCTCCAGAAAACTTACATAAATGAAAACATTTGACTAGCAATGTCAAAAAAAGATTTTACAGATGGCTTATCTAATAAGCATTCTGCCTTACAGTATAGTATTTATTTTGCAAAATAAGTATACAAAGCATTTACTTACAATCTAATTGCAGGCAGTATATTCCAGAATATATTGATGGTAATAAAATAATAAACCATATCATGAATTGAAGAGATATTATCTGAAATATTATTATAAGTACAAACTTAAAACTAATATTATGACTTTGAATCTAATAAAAATCTTTTATATGTAATTTTAATAAATTGTCTTCTTCAAGTTAATATTCTAAGATAGTTGCCCCAAACTTTATGTGAATGAGTACCTTTTAAAAATGTCATGAATCCCCAAAGTGATAAAGTTAAATTTTACTTATTCAGTTACAGTTTGGCAAGCTTATTAATTCACCTGGGCCTTACAACTACTCCAGACCCCAATGGTTGGAAATCAGATCTAACGTGATTAAAAGAGCACTGAAGAAACCTATAAGGAGCAATCAGGGTTTGAATGTCCCAGAGCATTCAAGGATCCTTCATAAACATTAGCATTAAAATGCAGTTACATTTATATAATTTATGCAGTGATCCCACCAATTAGTCTAGTACCTACCTGGCTGCATAAAATTATATAAATGTCTAACCACTATAGTATACACCTGAAACCAATAAAGTAATATTGAATGTCAACTGTAACTGAAAAAAAAAAGGAAAAAAATGATTTTTTAAATGCAATTACACTGTAAGTCTGCAGAAAAATCAGCATGCACTCGAGAATGCTAAAGGATCTATTTCCTTCTTTAATTATACAAAAGAAAGCTTCCAATCATACCTCAAGAATAGGACTCCAATCCAGGATAGAAGAACTCATGAAAACCATCCCATTCCTTGAGACGGTAGCAGGCGAAGCATTGTCAATATTATGAGGCTCGAAAACGATCTTACAGTTTGGAGCCATGGGGATCCGATCGCCATTGGCAAGGGTGAGAGTTTTGTTGTCATCCAAAACGGAATTCAGGTTTTCAATCCAGATGGCATCTACTGGACCATCGAGAACTATCCAGATATGCTCCCCTGGAATATCCCACAAAAGGCCGGGGGGAAAGATACATACACATATGTAGCCTTACCGAGTTTCCTTAAACAACCAGCGAACACCGCGTAGTACATCTAAATAAAACAATCTGTTCCATATAGACTTCATTTTTGATATACACAATTTTCTTCCCTAAGAAGCCCACTTCCTCCTGTGATTTTATAGGAGAACCGGGTTTTTTTTAAATAGGCTGTCCTTAAGAAAAAATAACATTTTAAAAATATTCAGTGAAAACAGTTATGGTAAAATCACGTTATTCAATACTACCAATTTTCCTTAACAGCCTTTTCTATCTATTTTATTCTAATATCACAGGAATAGAGAAATACTTTTTCAAACAGAAAATAATTCCCTTTGTAACCAAACTCTAAGGAAGGTGAGGGGGGTTTTAAATACACTAATCAATAATTTCAGTATTTCACCATTCACAAATATCATACTGATTTATAACTTCTTGGTCTTGGCTAACATAGTATATGGAGAATGTAGGTGTTCTACTAATTCTAAATAGCCACCAAGAATTGTATTGAGCAGTACGTGTCAAAAATAATGCTTGCAATTCATCTTCTACCTTTCTTAGCCTTCAATGTTTTTCTCCAAAGAGTAGAAAATACCCCGTCCGTCCAGTCATTCGTGGCTACGTCAAGCCGACCAAACATCTGTGGGGCCGTAATCGCTTTAGGATTCATCCTCATTTCCCGGTGTGGTTTTCCACAATCTAGACCAAGTAAATCCAAATGTAGACAACTCAGGTGCCAAGTCATCATTAAGCAATAGTCACTAATTTGTGGCGTACTGTCAGCAGGTGTTCAAAAAATGAAAACGCAAAATTGCATTTAAAATATGTGTCTTACTGCATTTCCAAGTGATCATAATTAGCCTCATCACATTTTACTGGCTAAAGCTCTTTTGCTTTTATCTTCTGTAAAAGACAATTGCATGTTACAGAAGGGGAGAAAAAGGATACCATGTTGGAATTGATGACGGAATTAATGTAATCTGGAAGTTTTTCAAACTCCACAGCTCAAACTCCTTTTGGTTTGTTGTGTACTAGATGAAATCTGGTACCTAAGTACCACCGAGGAAACGCCTCAACCGCTCCATTGTCAGCTTTAATTTGCTGAGATGTGTTCTTGCTTATTTGGGAAAAATAAGTTAAGCTGATTTTGCAGGAATCAAGAACTTTTTTATGTGGCCAATCTCAAGAAAGGTATTTGAATCCTTCAAACCCTAAAACTACTCTTAAATGGGCTGGATTCTACATGTAAGGGACGGTGGTTAATAATCAGAGCAACAAAGAATAAGGCTT